ATGGAAGAAATGACGCAGTACAGGATATTGTGGGTGCAACTGGACAAAAACATATTTAGAGCTCCCATGGCCTCAATAAATTCAGAAACACACTCTGGGAATTCTATGGTATCCACAAACTTCGAAATTGCGTGTTGAGAAGCTTTTGCTTTTCCTTCTGCATTTCTCTTACACGAATGAAACACAGACCTCACAAAACAAAAGAAACAGGAGAAGGAATCAGAGCTATGTGAATATAAATTCGAGGAGAAGAAAAAGGTCACCGCAGAGCACAGACTAATCCCAAAGACCATTGTGGAACACGCAGTCCAACAGCACCAACCTGCTCAAGATACCAAAAGCAACCCACTGACCCCTATCCACACGGCATTCAGACAGAGCTCAAACCTGCCAGCTTGGCTGCTAATCTTCTTTGCCAGTATCAGATTTGGTTCCTGTTAGCTGAATCCGTTACAGGACATCAGCCACACAGAGCAAAGAGGGTGATCGATGAATTTCTTGGTCCTTCTGCACAGCACAGGCGAGCAGAGACACGAAGGGAAAAGATGACTCGGCCAACTTGAGCGAGTTAAAGAATTCAGGTAGTCACTACGCCTACGGTATTTTGGGCAACATTTAGTTTTATTGTGTTATTCTAATTCTACTTTATTTTGATTTGCTAACAGAGAAGTTACCTTTAAGGCTCTCCATTTACAGCCTGTTACGCCCACGAAATTCTTTGCTGTTTTGTCCAATTCCTTTTACGCAGAGCAACAAGCACTTGCCAGCGGGGAAAAAACCTGCCCTGCTCTCCCCATCAGCACGGCAAACCTCGACGTCTGGAGCCTTCTCACTTACACATACGTTATTAAAAAATCACATTCCTGACCTCTCAACCCAGCAAGTGGGGCACGGAGTATATTCTGCAGTGATATTAGAGAACCAGGTCCTACCCAAATATGATTTATAGGATGGCTAGTGTTGGAATGAAAAGTTTAGCAGGTGAATCAGGCTTTGTCTTTAAAAACACGCAGTTTTATAGATTGATTAGGTATGTTCTTCTCTGGATATCTCTAATATTAAAGCTAAGAGTCACTTTTATAAATTCTGGAAGGGAAACTGAAAATCTCCCTCACAAGAAAATCCACATACCCTCAACAGTTGCGTTGCAAAATGCTTGAGGCAGCCCAGATGCCTACAGCACAGTATCAGGTGAAAAGAGAACATCTGCAAACAGAAATTTATCCACTGAATGCTTTCCATTTTCTGATTGATTATTCTCTTTGAACTCTATATTAGCTTACGGTTTGGGGTAAATTACATTCCTGGGTTTATTTGCGTGAGGTCCCTGCCTAGGAAACCACAGAAAACACTTTCAAGAATATTTTCAAAGGCTGGCAGGACACACAATCATCACCTTCGCACTATTCCTGGCAGAACACTGCACTTGTTTACTCATGTCAGCTCGGTTTATGTATGGCATCCTCCCACAGCGACAAGAATCGAGGTCTGTGGGAGTCAGGTGATGCCAACTTCAACAAAGCCAGCTTAAGATTTTCTCCGCGCACGGAGACAACTCAGCAAACAGCTACTGACGTGCTGACGCCCCTTCTCCTGACTTCTGCGTCTTGGATGATGTTGTCTTACTCTTGGGATAACCTGACTGCTTTCACAGTCATAGACTATCATGTCTTTCATTATGCATGGCAAGTAAAAACTCACAGTGCAGCTCAGCCAACTGCTGGTCCTTCGTATAACAACGGGCTTGCTAATCTGACCTGCACGTACCATCCACCATCCAATTTCTCAGGAAGCTTTGGCAAAATAAGCACGTTTGTTGCCACGGTCAACACAATAGCCTTCCTCAGTACAGGTACAACTCTCTTCAGCTGGGCACCATACATAAGACTTAAATTTCTTCACTGCAAGAACAATATACAAAAAACTGTGTTGGGAACCACTGATCTGTCTTCCCAGATTTTTCCAGTAGCAGTAAATAATACACAGTGACTCTGTTCCTAGTATGTATAGCCATATATTAAGCACACAGGATTTCAAATTCTAAGAAAAACTAGTACACGAGTAACTCCAATGACTACCAGAATAAACACAATAAATTACATAATCTTTAATTCAAATTTATTCTTAAGTCTTTTTAAAAATCTTAGATTCTGTAATTAAAGTCTTAGCGTTAAGAATATTCCCAGCTTATATCTTAGGGAAAAATCACTAAAATTTTGAAAGTCCACAGTGACTTTCAGAACTGACTCAGGAGCTCGAGCCAATGGGACTTAGCTTGCATGCTCTTTTCTTTTCTCTCATTTTTACTATCATCTCCACTGTACAGTAGCAATCAGGGTGTTATGACACTGATGATTCCTACTTGGATTTAGGAGGACATCAGCAATGCCTAGAAAAAACAGCGCTCTACACTTTTCCTGAGACAGAGCGATTCTTCTCATCTACCTGCCACCTGTTCAAACCACAGCTGAACTACTGATTTACATCAGCCAACCAAGCCATACTCCTTTCAGTTGTATCAGAAGGTACAGCCTCCATAATTCAAGCCCCGATTTCTCCGTAATAGCAAAATTCAAAACTTTTCTTCTCTGTTGCTGTGACTACATTAATAGCAGCAAAAGGAACAGACAGAATATCAGTCCTGAAATATGGGTTTAGAGCTTGCTATGGTTTTTAATAAGAGGCAGATACTTAATTAGATGCTGAAGTAATTCTATCTATGTCAGCACTCAGAATTGAAAGATAATTGAGAAATGCTCAGAGGAAGACAAAATTATATTTGGTATGCAAGGTGAAACATTGCTTTTATCCTACTGTAGATACTGCCATGCGAAGTCTCCAAGAACCTGAAATGAGTACATTTTAAAAAGGATCACTTTTGTGACATTCTATTACTATCTTGCAAACACGTATAAACACAAAAAAGAGTTAAGCTGATTTCCTTATAGCGTAGTCTGTCGTTAAGACTTAGAAGCTATGTCTACTGACTAGTTTTAAATGCAGTGGTAGCTCACAAGACTTCATTCTCTATTTTTGACATCGATCTTTGTTAGCAGTTACGTTAGATCTGACTCTTTGCCTTCGTATAGAAATTGCAGCAACATCCAGTACGGTCTGTAGAAGAACTGAGAGTGAATTCTTCACAAACATACAGCTCCCAGTCGGATTACACAACTGTGCCAAGGAGCAGAGACACGCACACACCTGGCTTTTTGCAGAGCCTCCTTGGTTCTTGCTAGGGTTATAAACCCAATGCAAGACAGATGTACTGCTTCAAGGGCCTGCTCAGGTCAGAAGTCAGTTCAACTGTTCTCCCACAATCTCTAGCACAAGGTATTAAACACCCAAACACAGTGAGCTTCATGGTTGCAGGTGTCAGCATAGGTCTGAACGTAGCTGGTGCTAACAAGTCTTCTTAGAGTCACCCAGCTCCCACGTGTGTGCTCCTCACTAAACATTCCACCCCCTAACTGTCTCTGATTTTGGAGAGTCTACTATAGTTTCGAAATGCCAGTATAAGCCCCAGTAAAGAAAGACCTTTAGAGAATTTTGTGTTCTACTGAGACATTCGGACCAAATAAAATACTTCCAGAGGACTGGATTCATTTTTCTACTGAATATTTATCTGAATTTACTATATGGAACAGACCAATTACAGAACCACGCCAGTTTGGGCAGTATACAAAAATAAAGGGGAATGTTCTCACTGATTAATTTAACCTCCCACTGAAGCCACATACCTTCTGGCACTGACCTAAGCTTAAGGGCTCACTGGGCAAAACACAACCTTTATATGGATGAAGTCTTAATTCCAAAGTAAATATTGCTTTATTTTTTGTTTTGTTTACAGAGAGATTGTACATTTTTAGAGCTGTTTTTAAAGGTTCCTTCACAAATTGAAAGTTAACCACAATATCCTCTCCACCCAATAGCCCTCAAGATAAACACCCCACAAACAGCTCACTGTTCTTTGTAGTTCTGGTGTGGCAGGTAGCAAACCCATTTTTGAGATGTCATACCAACACCTTTTCCCCACCTACCTGCACTTTTCTTTAACAGAAGACTAAAAGGCAGAGGCTTATGAAAGTATGCTCTTTTCTCTTAAATGTTTCTTTAAATATTATTTTAAAATAACAATCCCCTATGAAGATGTCTGCCAATATACGACCAAAAAAAAAAAAATCACCTCTCTGCCACCTCACAACTCTCTCCAGGTGTCTTGAAAGGAGCTAGTTATGTTTTAACACTGACCAGTGCTGTCAGCAAGTGAGGCCAGGCAGGCACTCGTGTTCCTACCCTATTCCCAGTGAAAACTCTTGCATAGAAAGATACCTTTTCCTTAAAAAAAAACCCCAAAACATCACAGGACGCAATGACAAACATTTTGATGCTGCACTTTACCAATGTGTTTCAATCTTATATTTGAGAGGATCACTTGTGAAGACAGAAGAAAGGCAACTGTGTATGATGACTTAATTGTTGAGCTTTCTGTCAAGAACATCAGCAAGGATAAAAAAGATGCGATTAGCTTCCAGAAAGTATAAATATCCTCTTGGAATGACATAAAAATTCTCAGGAACATAAATGGATCATTCTAAACATCGACTCTGATATAATAGTCTGATAATCAACACTACTTTGAGAGAGTCCAGCGCAGGGCCACAAAGATGATGAAGGGAGTGGAGCATCTCCCTTCTGAGGAAAGGCTGAGGGAGCTGGGTCTCTTTAGCTTGGAGAAGAGGAGACTGAGGGGGAACCTCATTAATGTTTATAAATATGGAAAGGGTGACTGCCATGAGGATGGAGCCAGGCTCTTCTCACTGGCATTCAATGATAGGACAAGGGGAAATGGATACAAGCTGGAACATAGGAGGTTCCGCTTAAACATGAGGAAGAACTTCTTCCCAGTAAGGGGGGCAGAACACTGGAACAGGCTGCCCAGAGAGGTTGTGGAGTCTCCTTCTCGAGATGTTCAAAACCTGCCTGGACATGTTCTCGCGTGATCTGATCTAGGTGGTCCTGCTCCAGCAGGGGGATTGGACTAGATGATCCTTTGAGGTCCCTTCCAATCCCTGACATTCTGTGATTCTGTATGTGTTAAACCCATATCAGATTGCTACATCTTACTGTGGAGAACACACTAGACCGTACTGAATCCATTAAATCTATCATACAAACATCATTCTGAAACAGTGCCATGGGTGTTTTGGCTCCACAGCACCTCCTTACTGAAAGACAGACAGAAAATCATCTTTCACTGTTGCTGTAGTTGTTATGTTTCACTAAATGATACCTGAAAGCAAACTCTGCAAATAACCTAAAAGCAGTAAACAGAAACTCCCTCTCTCTCTTTCCCCCCCACTCCTCACCTTTCAGCCACTTTTTATTAGTAAAAAAGAGTTTGCATATTTCAGAGGAATAATCCAATTTGGGTTTGTATTGTGGTGCTATATGAGAATCTCATTTGGAAGAACCCAGTGAAGAACAAATATTCTCAACGATTACAGTTAATGTTAAGGTAAGTAATGTTACAAGTTAGACAGTAGAATAATTTTCTGTATTAAAAACTACTTTGGCCTTCTGCTAAAATAAAATCAAAATGTTCTGAATAACTATCAAGAGCACCTATCAATCATGTATGACCAAATGTTTTTAAAGTATTTTGTTTAAATTCCGTACATTTTATTTGAATAAATACATTTATCTATCATAACAGTTGAAATTATGACCATCTACTGAAGGCTTTTAACTTGTCAATAAAGTACATTCTTTCAAGGACTTCATCACTGATGGGCAGAAAAGTGCTGCCTTTTATTATTTAAATTTAAGAAGAGAAATGTGTTTCTAGGTTTGTCACAATATTGCACACTGATTTAATATCTCTATATTCTTTTCAACCACTGTAATGGATCAAAACCTGCCAATTACATTTTAAAATATTTACCTAATACCTACTTCCAATGATATTTTTAAATGTAAATATTTTTCTAAATAAACATGTACGAATCTAAGGTGCATCCCTGACTAGAAAAGAAAGAATGAACAAATTTACCAAGCGGTTTATGATTGTAAACTACCACACTTCCACAGTTACACAGACTAATGCAATTTCAACTTTTACATAAATCTGAGAAGAATCAGAAAAGTCATCTTAGAACATCAAAAGATATTTACTGTGGGACTTGATTTCTGCATGTGGACAAGGCCATGTGCACCCACAGATTCCCTGAACACGGCTAATGCAAAGCTACATGAGAGTAAAAAGTTCAAATAAATTCTCTTACGCTCTTGCAATATGGAACCTTCCTACCAGTGTCACCTACAAATTTTCCGCATGCCAATTCCACAGCTCCTTTGGCTTTTTACTGTTTTAGCTGGAACAGCACAAATATTTTTTGATGCATGACTGCCACCTTTTGGACTTCCACTAACACTACAATTTTCCAAGCCAGGGGATTGAAGTGCTGTCTTCAAGCAACGTTTCATTCCTGTTTTTCAAGAGCATCCAATAAATTTGTGCTATACCTATCACCCGTTTGATGTTCAGCTATACACTTGTGTCTTACACAATACGGGATTTATTACTGTGTTCAGCTCAGGAGTCCCCAACACAAGAAGGACATGGAGCTGCTGGAGCGGGTCCAGAGGAGGCCACAAAGATGATCTGAGGGCTGGAGCACCTCTGCTATGGAGACAGGCTGAGAGAGTTGGGGCTGTTCAGACTGGAGAAGAGAAGGCTCTGGGGTGATCTTATAGCAGCCTTCCAGTACTTAAAGGGGGCCTACAGGAAAGCTGGAGAGGGACTTTTTACAAGGGTGTGTGGTGATAGGACAAGGGGCAATGGCTTTAAACTGAAAGAGGGGAGATTTAGATTAGATCTAAGGAAGAAATTCTTCACTCTGAGGGTGGTGAGGCACTGGAGCAGGTTGCCCAGAGAAGTTGTGGCTGCCCCATCCCTGGAAGTGTTCAAGGCCAGGTTGGATGAGGCTTTGGGCAACCTGGTGTAGTGGAGGGTGTCCCTGCCCATGGCAGGGGGGTTGGAACTAGATGATCATTGAGGTCCCTTCCAACCCAAACCATTCTGTGATTCTATGATTTGTTATCAAAACACAGTTTTGCAAATATTTTTCCTTTACCTTGGAATATGCATCATAAAACATGAAAGCCCATATTTCAAGTGTAAGCACAGGCTTATACGCCAGAGCTCCTGTACACACTGACAGTAGTAGTGAAGCCTCAGCAAGGTGTATGCTACAGGAA